ATGTCTAGTATTTAAAACAAAGATATAATCTACTAGAAAGCACAAAAATATGATAAGAGTGTCGGACCAGGTGGCCTGTTTCGAGCTTTAATGTGCAACAGGTTCGTATTCTGCATGTTGGAGTGTAGCTCCTCGATTATTCTGAATCTTAAAATATGAATGATCTTTTAGTCACCCTATGCAACCATATGTACCATAGTTAGCATTTTGATAACTATGTTATATGCAGATAAATAGCTGTGAGTTACCTTTTCAGACCATATCTTATTAGTCTAGAGAACATATAATGAACAAAGGGATATTTCTGTGTTTTATCAATCTTTTTTCGTATGTAAACGATTTTTCTTTTCACATGACTCAATTAATAGAGATAAGTAATGTCAATTTATAGAAAAGTGTCGAAACTTTTGATTTATCCTTTAGTTATAGGGATGTATTATGATCTAAGCAATATTAGAGCATAGATGTTTTTCTCTTTTTTCAGTATTTAGGAAAGACGTTTTACAAAGAACAATGATAATAAATAGAAAATAGAAAAGTACTCTATGACTATAGTAAAATTCATCTGAAATCATCTAAGTCAAAATGAAAAATCCACTGAATGTTTCAAAACTGGGATAAATTATCAGAGAGAGAAATAAATTTAATTATCTTTTGTTTGATTAGTAAAGTTTTTTCACTCATTAGCGTTTAATTAGATAAAGTGGACATTGTTGGAATCGTTGATAGCCCTCTATTCGATACGTGCTCTGACATTAAAATAATATTTACATTTGAGTTGTGCAATTCTTTTTCGTCTTTATTAGTCACAAGCTTCAATCGAGTAGTGAAAGAAAAAAAGAAAAAAACATGTGTGATGTGACCTCCTACTTATTCTTTCTTCTTTCTTACGTACAGAAATATTTACAACGAAAAGCATGCTGCTTTTCATGTTTGAATGAAAATGAAATAGACTTTTTTTTTACCAATATACTCACATATTATAAGTTGTCTTTTTTTTTCAATCAACGATATCATTTTCTACGACCTAAAATTTGATTATAGAAATTTGCATCTCAAATTATTTTAAGCATCTCTTCTATTCGTAATTCGACAATCAGCAGCTAGAATGGTAAGAATACTTTTTAATTTTTATGTGAATTTTCGAAAGCAAAAAGGTTTCTAGAAATATGAAATTTTAATATGTTTTGATTTCAAAAGTCCTACATAGAGGTCGTTGAAAAGCAATTCTATTCATTCTTTTTATCTAGGTGAAGAGTCCAAAAAGACGTCATAGCGATAGTTCTGACGATGACAATAATTACATATCTCGTATATTTTGTAAGTTATTCTTCATTTATTGAATAAAAGAGATGAAATTTTTGACTGATAAATTATATTAAAGTTTTCGAGGAATGTGAAAATGAAGTCACTGCTATTGAATCCTTATGTCAACGTCTCCAACGACGTTATGCTTGTTGTCCAGCATTCTTCATGGGTTCTCTTCAAAATGCATGTGAAGAAGCTTTCAGCTCGACAGTAATTAAAGAAGTACGTTCATATCTGTTCGTATGATTATAAATACAAATACAAATATATTTCAATGTAGCGTCGTCCAGTACTTGTCTATATACACAATGATGAGAATATGTTCAATAACATATTTTGTTGTAGCATATTCTGTTCGTCAACTATTATCGATTATCTACTTGAAAATTATATTGTATGGCCATGTGATGTAACTTTTGAATGCAATAGAAATAGGTTCAGCAGCATCTGTATATTTTCGTAAGGAACAATTTTCTTTTTTTTTTCAATTAGATTGAGAAGTGTTTGGGAAGAAATGTTCTCGACTCAAGTGCACGATAATTTTAACGAAGAACAATGTCCAATGCTTATTGGTATCATGCGACTTTTTGAAGAGAAAAAGAATGATTCGGTAAAAGTCGAATATCAAGTCAAATCATTGCTCGTCGGTGATACTTTGACGCGAACTCAAGTGAAATCTAATCGAGAAACTGTACTTAATGAATTGGCTATTTTCAAAGAAGAATGTGATGAAAATGAACAAGCTTTAGTGAGTATTTGTTGTAGATATTTTATGCCTTATTAAGGGAGCATCTGCACATGCCAATCTTATTATTCTTATTGGTTGGATAGACTAAATTATCCAAGTACGTGTCAAGCCCTTTGACGATATAGGAAGGGAAGTGATAATGAGTCCAAATTTCTATTTTATCTGATTGAAAAACTAGTGTTAGATTGTGTTTCATAAAAAGTGCAATTCTGAGAAATCGAACAAATCATAAGAAATTCTTTTAGTTTTTGTTTACTTCTTTTTAGTCATTCAACTTTATTACTAAGACTCATCTTTGTTATGATTTCATGTGTGAAATAGTCAAATATCTCACACTAAATGATGCGATCAATGTATTTTCTGCTAATATTCTTCCTTCACTACGTCAATATGAAACAAAAGTCGAGATTTGTCAGCCTTCAAATGTATTTATTAATACGATTGCTAGAAAACTCAAGCCTGAACAAATCGTTTCCTTACGTCTAGACACAACTTGGTATTCGACACAGTCAGAATTAGATTCATTGATTATGTTTACTAATGTTATCTCATTGACTCTTCTCAACTTTCAAGAAATAAAGTCAATCAAACAGTACGAAAAATATCTTCCTAAATTAATCCGTCTTTCACTTTGGTATGATCATGAAGTTAGTTTGGGTTTTTTCAGTCGTATTACTGAGTACATGCCAAGTTCAATCAAACGATTTGAAATTCATTGTTCAGCATTAGCTTGCTCTCATTTTTATACAGATCAATATAGTATGATTTCTTTAAACAAGCCTGCTATTGAATATTTTCTTCTTGATATGGGTGAATTTTCGTTACCATCAATAAGCAATTGCTTGCAACAGCATCAGTCATGCATATTGATGACAACAATTGATTTGATCACAACTATGACTCATATTCGACATGTTCGATTAATTACTAACACATATAATGTAATGAGCACAGTAGATTTAAATCAATGGAGTAGACTAGCCAAGGGTTTTCACCAGTTGAAGAAAATAACATTGAAGATAATGGGTAATATGTTATACGATGATGAATTAATGGATCAAATAGAAACAATTCAAAAGCGATGGTGGCAAGCAATCGAATTTGAAGTGATATTCGTGTGATCGATGACATTTCATTGGTTCAATTGGTATTGATCATTTGTAATATCTCTCTAATCGTTTATTTTTAAATACAAAGATGAATTAAGTAAATATGTACAACTCGATAGCTTTTCTTGTCTCAACTTATTTGAGTCATTTGTATTATTAATGTTTTAGTTGTATTTCCATCATTTTCACAATTCATCTTCATATCGTAGAATCTTCGTTAGTTTCTGTTGCTTTTATTGTGATTGTTAAAATGCTTTGTTTGAGACTTTAATACTTATTATTATTTTTATTATTCGAGTTACATGTAGTTTGATGATTGTGAAATACGTATATTCATTATTTTTTCAAATGGAAATAAACCATATCATGTCTCTGTGCAAGCCAGCCGGTCTTGCTCTATGTAAACAAAATTGACTGAGGAAGTAGATCCAAATGTCAGCAACAAAAACAACCAATATTTCGTGTTTGTCATTCTGCTCTTGTTTCAAAGAAAAAGTAATGAAATACTGAAAGAACAAGAAAAGGTTGTTCTCAACATTTCTATACGGCAAGTTACTGAAAACAGCCAAATCGACAGTATTATTTTCTTTTTTCATGTATAATATCATTTTTTTTATTACTAAATATTGTAGGCTTTTGGGAAGTTTATCTCTTATTTAATCCTTTGTTTATTACCAAAAGGTAAACATAGATAAAGAAGAACGGCTACATACCAAGCGCATTTGTATTTCTTAACGCAATAATCTAGCATGGTTCGTAAGGAATGATGCTTGACAGTAGCCTTTACTGGAATGTAGCTACCAATACGCATTCTACGTGATTAAAAAAGTTTTGTGTGATCGAAAAAATTTGTGACGTATATATTCATTGTTGGTAATCAAAGTGTTAGTCTGTTAGCTAGAGATCAGCCTATTTTCTTACTGAACAAAAATACAAGATTGACGTACTTTTGGTTTTTTTCTACGATATCCAAAGCTTAACTTAAATCCAAATAGTGATTTGGATAGTCAGTCGAATTCTTTATCAAATGCATTCCATATCGAAATTCCATAGATACTCTATGAAAAAGGCTTTTCAAAAAAACCATGTACGATAATTTTTGCAGGTCTCGGAATACTTTATCACAATTAATTTTGAAGAGTAACAACTTAGAGAATAGAAAATCCGGAGTAAAATGGGAGGGGAGGGGTTGCTGTAATTCATACAACCTTCCCTTAGTAAACCATAAGCATAATAAAAGACAACAAAACTGCATCTTTTTTATGCTTTTAATTTTTGGAGGAAGGTTATATTTTACAAAGACTGAAGTCCAAGCGAATTTCTTATTCGTTTTGATCTCTGATTTGATGTGCGACAACTTCTCATTTTACTCAGGATTTTGTATTCTTTAAATTGATACTCTTCAAAACTAATTTTCACAAAGTATTCCGAGACCTGCAAAAATTATCGTGTATGGTTTTTCAGAGATCTTTCTCTCATAGATCATCTATGACATTTGTGTATGGAATACTTTTGATAAAGAACTTCATTGACCATTTAAGCCACTATTTGGATTATAGTTAAATGCTTGACAGAGCTGGTGTAGCTCCTATCTTAACGCACATCCACACCCTTTTCATAAACTCAGAGCTTTTTTTCATGAATCTATAAAGCTTATTGAATTTTTCTAGATTCAATCAGAACTTTGATCTCTCAAAGGTTGTCTATGAATTTAACACAACCTCAATCGATTGAGGGTGTGGGTATGAACGAATTGCAAGCGAAAAGAATATTAACAGTTACATCCGCCCACACAGACACCCACACCCACATCCTAATTTCTTATAACTATTACTCTTTATATTTCATAGCTATGGTCTTGTCTGCAATAATCATACAACAGATCTATTGTACTTCCAACATGTACCAAGACATGTTCTTAGTACTTCAGGAACCAATGTGTACTTTTCTGTACGTTCTACTTATGCTTGGTTTGGATCGGTCAGAACAGTAGTTTGACATGGAACTCAATCAATTTATCAAACTAGCAAACTTCCAGCTGGTCGATACAAAATTTGATTTTGGGCCCTCAAACATTTCGGTGATGACACTAATATCGAGGACTTTGACAAGTACGATACACAATCCTTTAATCTGGTTTAATTGTTTAAAAATCTTTCTGACTCCATAATGCTCATTCAGATTTCAATCGGCATGATATCGTATTGAAATAAAACGTTCATTACTGTCAAAGTGTGCATAATAAACAGGTGACTATAACACGAGAAGAAAGGTATATGTTTGAAATTAATAGTACCGCAACAACTATTCAGCATGTTGCCATTGATTTTCGCCTTTCAATGTATCTAAAATAAGTACATAGTCTGAGCATCAACTTTTTCCATAGAGAACTGAGAAAAAAATGCAAAAATGTTGAGAAATGCTAGAAAATTAATAAAAGTATAAAACTTATTCTTTTGAAGTAATGCTATCAATGTATATATAAATGTGCTATGTATGTAGAAAATCACTACCCACAGTAACCCAAAACTGAAAATGATATATGGTTAAACCGTCTGGATAATTCAGTACAATTATTTTGAATATTTAGCTTAGCTCTGATGTGCATTGTAGGTTTGAAAAATTCAGGTGTACATCATTTATCAAAAATGTAGATTAAAAGCAAAAATTTCCTTCAGTTTCTTGAAAATCAGAGGAATTATGATGGATTAAACTCGAGGACGTCTATTTTTCTCTCGACGATGTGCCTATTGGTGTCGGTGTAAACCTTTTTTGTCGCTCACACCCTACTAGGTCTATCAAGCTGCATTATTATTTGCTCCGTATAACTTCTTAAGAAAATATTTAGAGAGATGAACGTTTATCCCTTATATTTATCAACATTGCTTATTATATATAATGTATTTTGTTCATGATTAAATTTTCGTTACATAAAATAATCAATAAAAGGAAAACACATAAACGTAATAGAAAGATAAATGAAATTAATTAATTTTCAAAAAAAATTGTTTTCAATAATATTACAGATGATTTGTGTATAGAAGGTTTATTTTGGTATAACATTTTCTGCCTTTTGTAATGTCATTACAAACATAGATTATGATTGTTTTGTTGGTGCTGTATAAAATGGTTTATTTATACCATAACATTGTAATTGATCTTTAAATTTTGCATTACCCCAACTATTTGATATGTATTGAATAGAACCTAATCTATTAATTATAATAGTTTGTATATCAGTATTTTTATAATTAAAAATTTGAATAGGACAAAAAAATGCACTACATGATGGAGTCCATGTTCGATCACTAAATGATACAGTTACTGTTCCACTTAATGAATCAGATTATTTATCATAACTAAGAGATCCAATATAATATGCAACATATCTACCTTGTAATATAAATGTGGCTTGAATGGGAAAATAACGATTTATACCAGGATGTGGAGCAGTTAAATATTTAAAATAATAATTTAATACAGGTTTACATGGTACAGTTGATAATGTTTGACTATTGATTTTATTTAATATGAATATAATTAGTAATAATGATATAAAATAATATTTTATTTATTGCCATAATTCAATTTATTTTTGATAATACATGTATTCGAATTGTGAATATAATGTAGTATTCAAATATTTTTAAAATTACTAATGTGTAAAACAATCAAGTATTTGTTATATTGTATTTATACTTTCTTTTTGTGTTTCTCTAGTTCTCTCGATTGTTTATGACAACATAGATAAAGAAAAACAAAAAAGAATCAAACATATACATAATTATGAAGACAAAAAAAAAAGAAAATTGCGAATCATAGAATACAGTAATGAGTAATGCAAATGTTTGATACTTTTTTAAACATGATTTATGATGATCATATGAAAAAAGAGAAGAAATGATCATGTGCTATCATGTAAAATTTAAATCGTACTATCTAAAATAAATTTGATCAATATACATTCCATTTAATAATTCATGCGCTGAATTTCCACCAAAATGTACTAGGAATGTCTACTGCAAATGCATAATATTCACTTATCCTACATTGTGCATCTGCACTTTAAATGCATTAAGTGCTATGTGCTACCACTTTCCAGTGTATGAACAGTGCATCACCAGTGTATATCAAGCTGATAGTGCATGGTATTTTATCCATTTCAAGTATATACACAGTTGTGTCGATCATAAAGAATTATAGATGTAGTATCCAAAACTATATAGTAGTCTATTGCATATTTATGTTTAAATACTCTAGTTATCTATATTGAACTTGAAAATGGGATCCCGAAAGATGCGCACGGCGAAAGTTGCGCACGGAAAGATGCGCACGAGTTGTCTAATAATCAGTGTTACTTCGAGAGAAAAAGTTAGAAAAAACACAAACAATTAGTAGTTTTATTTATTTCTTAGAATCTTAAATAGAAATATTTAGATTTATGAATCAGACACAAAAACAAGAGTTGATGATAACGTCCATAAAAATACATACAATATTACTACTGAGTGTTCATATTTCAAATCAAAATATTCAATTAAGAGTAATGTTATGTGCTAATGCAGTGATTTGATCAATAATATTGCGATGAGGATTTGAGACAAGATTGAGTAAACGTTTGTCAAGATACTGAATGCGTGTGAGTATATATATCGTGCGCAAGATTTGTCGTGCGTAACTTTCTCGTGCGCATCTTTCCGTGCGCAAGTTTCGTCGTGCGCATCTTTCGTAGACCCGACAATGGCACGAACTCTTCTAGAGTTTTTATGTACGCTATAAGTTCTATCTATGAGCAAAATATGAGCTTGACCGGACGTTATCAGTTGGAAGAGTTCTCTTGTGATAGAGAAACTAATCAGGACAAGAAGAAATTTAGTTAGCCAGTGACCTGACCTGCAAGTTTCGAGAAGGCAAACTAGACTTATTCGATTTTTTAACCGTTCTTCTCAATTCAGATGATAAAATTGCAAATGCTTCGACGAAATAGAAAATCATGCACTATAAATGAACCATTTAACGTAACCTAAAATTAAGTTAAGTTTTTTTATTTAACATTTAATGTTATTTGAAGTTAATTTGAAGTTATTGAAATATATATTTTCGACGTTTCTCTATTCCAGTATGTTCACTGATATCTTCACTAGTACGAATCATTTTTTGGTGCTATATTCTTTCTATATTTTGTTTTTGAATATAGTTTTATATGTTTGCATTCAAAATGGCGGGTGGCTGATGCAGTAGCGAAAGCACAGATGGACGCTTTGGTATTTGATTATTCAACGTATATGATATCAATGAACTGAGCGATGATCAAGAAAATGAGGATGAATGTTTTTCCATTATTGGATTAGGTGATTCAACTGCATAATTATCATACAACTTGGTGATCTATGTACCATTCCATGTTTCGCTATAGAGATTTTAAAGTTTCACCAGCTTTGCCTTTCCCAACCATTGCTGCAACTGCTTACGCTTTTGCCGTTGATTTTATCATTCAATATTCAACTTTTGATTGTAATGATCTATTGAAGGGCGTGGATGTATGATAAGTGAAGAATGATACTCAGACGTTCTTAAATAAGCTTTCAAGTTGAAGTCTAACTTTTGAGATTTTCTAGTGATTAAAAGTGACAATCATGATTTATGATATACTTATGTATCAGTATGTAGAGATACTCTAGAAAAATATTCACAATTATTAAAAACTAAATTCAACAGGTTGACAAATCGATGACCCATATATAAGCATACGAGAAATCGTTCTTGAACCAAACAAAATAAAAATACCATGAAAAGATTCGAACTTTCAGAGGTCATTATGGGGACAAGTCATTTGCTTCAATTCAAATTGCACCATCTTATCGATATATCTCCTTTCTCAAAGTGTATATGATCGGAAACATCTTGTATACATACGAAACTTCTATGTTCTTCAGTAACAATGTAATGCTGATTTAAAAGGATAAGCAATCTATCCTAATTGTACTAATGCTCTCCATAATTGATTATTCAAGCGTGACATCTCTCGACTTTTTTTTCTAATACTTTCGTAAGAAATATGTTACTTACAAAGATACGTCATTGCGCGTTTGAAGCAATTTATAATACACATAAAGTTGGAAAATGAGTAAGAGAACGAGAGAAGATTGATATTGCACAAGAACAGAACAAAATCAATAGCGTGACGCATCTCTATTACATAGCCTATTCACATGTGACAGAAAAGATATTTTCTTTTTGTGCGCATAAGCAAATTGTAGTTGGTAAAAAGCAATCACTGCCTTTCAATAAAGTATGCGTCATATAGCTGATCAATAAGCATGTTTAAGTATTGTCACTCGTTCTACTAGTCTCATTTGAATAGGTAAGTGAAGTCACATGAAGAGACAAAAGTAATTACTTCTTTCTTATTAGCTTACCTATTTTCACATAACCAAGAATTGGTGTTTTTTTTTGCCATTCGAATCTTATATATTTGCACATCGTAGTCAAGTCTTATCTAGTGGTAATTTTAAGAACGAGATTGACTTTAATAATTATCTATTATGTTTAATGCAATACTTTTCTTTTATAGTGCTCAAAACTATATAGAAACTTTTCTAATTCATGATTTTGAAACATGTAAGAGAATGACTGACGAGAGAACATGTTCAGATGTCAAATCGCTTTTAAATCGAGTATAAACTCAAAAGATAGACCTCAATAAGTTATTAAACACTCTAGAATAAGTTGGTTTTTCAGGCTTCCTGAACCGAGATAGGTGCTTATTATTGTTAACAGTATGATGGTACAAAAGTACGTTCTTTGTGAAATTTTTGAGAAATCCCTGTATCCTTCCCGGGCTTCTCATAAGAAATCATTTTCTCGAAATGCTAGTACTTCCCAAGGAGGATTTTTTAAAATATTTTTTACGAATGCTAGTAAAGGTTTAAGAGCTGATTTATGCTGGATAGAATTTATTTTATATAATAAAATATTTCTATGAATTTTGAACCGAACTCAAGTATACTTTCTATCAAGAAGGTGTCATTTTTTGGTATGTTTCAATAAGGTTTTCAAAACCATTCTCACAGATCCCACGTGAATTTCTAGATAACCTTGTAGCACTCAATGTATAGTCTGGAACCATATAAGCCGGGCTTCCATCCATCGCATATTGGAGAGATAAAACCCATCCAAAAACTGATGCTTCTTTGATGAGACATGAATATCATAAAAACTTACAAACAATGTGCTTTTGTGACGATAGAGCCATCAGAAATATTTCAATATCTTGAAAAATGGAAAATTTTTTTTCCAGACAGCTTGTTTCAAAAATTCTTAAAATGTTCTCTCTACTACATATCTGAAATTAAACAAATCCTGTCGTGGCATTCTTGAATGTTTAATAACTCATTGAAGTCGAGTTTTTGAATATATACTCGATCCAAAAGGCAATTCTTTCTTGAAAGCTTAAGAGAAATCGGCTTCTTGTAACTGAATTCCTTTGATTAGTCCTTCCCAAGTTTGCTTCTTCTGCCAACTTTTTTCGGAGCAGATCTACTTAGTCAGCATATGACACCTAAACATTTCTTCTGCCTTGGACATTACTGTTTTTTTTTTTATTATTGCAAGATTTTAAGTGGGTTCTTTGCTTATTCAACTGGCTGTTTGACACATCCTTAGTGTTTCCATCATTCTAGAAAATCCATCAGAAATAATGAACAGAATTAACAACAAAGAAGATATTACTTTGATTTGGTTTGATTCAAAGATCGATTCCAACTATCATGTAGATCAAACAAAGCAACAACTAAGTCAAATCAATGATTACGTTGTATTCCATACCCAACTCGAATCTTGCATCAGTTTCATTCAATCGATTTATGATGAGAAAATCTTGTTTATCTCTTCAGTTTCTGATGCATCACATATATTGCCTCATATTACAAGTCTACCTCAAATCGATAGCATATTTCTTTTCAACTGGGAAAAAGTCAATCATGAACATTCATTTGCTGAACATTCAAAAGTGATTGGTATCTATGAAGAAATCGATTTATTGTGTTTATCAATTCAAGAACAAATTGATTTTCTCGACCAAAACTTACAAACATTCAGCTCCTTTGACCAGGATGAATATTTCAAGAAAGATCTATCAAAACAAACAGCTGATCTTATTTGGTTCCAACTTTATCATGATGTTCTCTTTCAGTTAATACATGATGAAAAAGCTAAACAAGAAATGATTGATGCAAGTCGTTCGTATTATCGAGACAATATCAAAGAATTGGAAGTGATTGAGAAGTTTGAAAATGAATATCGATCAGAAGAAGCTCTTCGATGGTATTTAAAAAAATCGTTCCTCTACAAAATAATCAAAAAAGCATTGAGAACAAAAGATTTTGATCAACTCTTCACATTTCGATATTTTATGAGAGATCTGACAGAATGTCTCATTCGAGAACATCAAAAATTTGTCCAATCTGGTACCAAATTACTATTCATGTATCGAGGAATGAAATTGACAAGTGATCAAATCGATCAATTCAAAGAGAACAAAAGTAAACTTGTTTCAATTAATGGATTTTTGACAACAACTACTTTTCGTTTAACTGCATTAAACCAAGCGATGAAACCTTCAAAAAGAACTGATCTTATGCCTGTTCTCCTAGAAATCCAATGTAATTTAGAACAGGTGAGCAACAATGTCATTGTTGCTGATTGCATTCATTGCAATGAACTTCTAAATGAGGAACAACAAGAAATTATCTTCGATTTAAATGTTGCTTTTCGACTGGAGAGTATGAGAATGGAAGAAGACATGTGGATGATTAAAATGAGTGCATCGAATGCAGGTCAACTTATCAAAGAAAAATATATCAAAGATTCACATCGTCAAATGGAAGATATAAGTATTAGAATTCTCTTTGGACGATTGATGTGTGATATGGGTCAATGGGATCAATCACAACATTTCTTTGAACATTTATTGAACAACTCGAATAGCTACAATGAAGATCTCGTAAAGCTTGAATGTAGTCTTGGTGAAGTTCTACAATGGAAAGGAGAATGGAATGAAGCAAGAAGATATTATGATCGTGCTTATGATCGGATAACAAATGTAAAATCAACACGCATCAAGGATTCAGCTGATATACTCTTCAATATTGGTGAGATTCTCTATCGAGAAGGAAAGTATGAAGAAGCTCGTGATTATTATGAACGAGCATTTGTAATAAGAAAGGAATATTATTCCTTCTCCGAGGTCGATAAATTTCGTTCATCGAACCGCAAAAGCAGCAATGTATTGAGTCGTATTCGCGAGTCATTTCGGTCGATTTTATCGACCTCTCGTTGGTTTCGTTCGAAATATGCGGTAAATAAAATTGAGTCTATTGACGAGCAGTCGAGTAAAACTCAGTTACAAGAAATGTGTCGATATGTACAAGAAACTGGTTGGTTACAACTGAGTGAGACTCACTTGAATGGTTGTGTGCCTATTGCTATGAGTCTCCGTAGCTTTGGAGAAATTCTCTTTCAACAAGCGAAGTATGATGAAGCACTTATATTTCATCAACAAGCACTGAAAATATTCGAAGAATATTATCGATATCCTCATCTTGATATTGCTGTTAGTCTTGGCTACATTGGTCACGTTCTTACATATCAAGGAGAGTATAATAAAGCTCACGATTTCTGTCAACGAGCTATGTCTATCTATACAAGATATTATCCAAATGGTCATGTATACATTGCCTATATCCTCAACTATATTGGTTACATTCTCTATCTTGAAGACAAGCATGATGAAGCTCAGAAGATTTATGAACGAGCATTGGCAATACAACAAAAGCATTATCCATCTGGTCATGTCGACATAGCTGATAATCTTTGTGGAATAGGTAATGTTCACTATGGACAAGGACTTTATGATCAAGCCCTGACATTTTATGAGAATGTGTTGGAAATTCTACAGAAATATTATTTTCCTGGCCATGATGCTATTATTTGTACTTTAAACAACATTGGCTTTATTAAAAGAGAACAAGGAAAGTATGATGAATCTGGTGATTTTCATCGACAAGCATTAGCACTTCAAGAAAAATATTATCCATCTTATTATGGAAACATTGCTAACACTCTCAATCATATCTTCGAAGTACTGTTTGCTCAATCAAAATATGATGAAGCTCTATGCTATTGCCAACGAGCGCTAGCGTTGCAACAGAAATATTATCCTTTGGGAAGCGCCTCAATGGCCTGGAGTTTCAACAACATTAGCAACATCTTAGATAAGCAAGGAAAGTACAATGAAGTAATCGATTTTCTTCGACAAGCACGAGCAACTGTAGAAAAACATCGCGCGTCCGATCATTCTTCTATTGCTTTCTATATGAACAATATTGGCATTATATTAAACAAGCAAGACAGGCATGATGAAGCTCTTGATTACCATCAAAGAGCACTTGAAATGCAAGAAAAACATTGTCCATCTTATCAGCGTGAGATAGC